TGGTCCCCACCGCCTCCCGCGCCGTCCCCAGCGCCAGCGCCTGCCGCGAGGCCGCGCACCATTCACCCAGGGGAGAGGCGGGGATGCGGGTGGGGCGGAGACGGGGCGGGCGGGGCGGGGAGGGAAGGGAGACCTCCTCGCCGTTCCCCTTTCCTCCCCCTGTCCCAGCGGGGCCCAGAGCAGCGTAAAGCGGGGAGGGGACGGGGCGCGACGTTGGGTTGCGACCTGTGGCGGTGGGGACAGGTCAGGTAAATCTGCGGAAGGCTGGGGATGGGAAAGTAGGGAGGTGTAAACCAGGCTGGGTGTTTCTTGGGGCCTCCGGCGTTGTTTTCTTTCCAGGTATCGGCACCTCTTTCTGCAGCAAGATTCCAGTGGGGACACTTGCTCTTTCTGCTTCGACAGCGTCGCGATTTGGCTCTTTCCAGGGGAACAGTGGCGGGGTGCTTGCGAATGCTTCTGGCTCATGGGTCCCAGGACATCCCACTGAAAGCTTGGACTGCATTTAGGAGCTCCCTCCTCTTCTCTGTCCACAGTGTTAGTGGGCAATCTTATACACTCGCACTTAGGCCCATAGGCTCAGAACGACCCATCACACCCTTACGAACATACACACGCACACACTCATGTGTACTATGATCACACACTCACATTTCTGTATACAGACTGTTCCTCACTTTGTCCTAGTAACAACCCTTCCTCCTCCAGAGACTTTGCAATGGAGAGAGTGATCTTTGTGCACCGTTCTTCAGCGCTCCCACATCTCCAGCCAGGCTGGCCTGTCTTTGAAGGAGTTTAAGAGGAACAGGCCCCAGCTGGGTGCTGGGCTGGGGCTCAAGCCCCCTTCTGGAGTTTAATGAGCCTTCACAGAGCCTGGTTAGGAGCTGACTCTCCAGGCCCCTGGGCACTCTCTATTTCACTCTGTTTTGGGACAGGAGAAAGGGACTCTTTGGGGCCACTTCATGCCTCCCCATTTCCCCCAAGTAGGATTGGGGAAAGCAGTGTCTCCAGCCTGCAGAGGGTGCCCGGTCCTCCTCTGTCCAAGAACTAGCCGAGAAGCTTTACCTCTGTGCCTGGGAAATGCGATCTTTTCCTGAGAGCATGGTGGGGTGTTGGTTTTGGAAGAGCCAAGCAGCCGCCATGTTTTGGTGAGGAATTCTGGGGGTCCTGTTGCTTTGGGGCCACAGATTTTCATCTTCAATTGTGAATGCTGTGAGCTGGTCAGATGCCCAGAAAGGGAACATGCATTCAAAGTGAAAGTGGGTGCATTCCACAGGAACATCAGGGTTGGGAAGAGTGCTGAACTCCCATCCTAGGCAGACTGGTGAGCAGCCAGGGTTGGATCTACCCTCCTGTCTCAGCTTGCAGACTCAACCCTAAGCTCAGGGCACTGGGAATATCCCCAGCCCCTATCCCAACCCTCACCCCACCCCAGTCTGCTCTCTAAGTTTCCTGGTCTTCCCAAAGTGTTCGGGACAACAAGGATGGACTCTGGCTTTTATCTATCTTCATCCCTTGGTTTGCTGAGATGAATGTAAGTGTTGCCCAATAAAACCTTCTATGACCCCCACCAATATACATATCCAGTGTCCCCTTTCCCTCCTGCCTTTTTAGTAGCTCCGGGTAAATACTGATTTGCCCCCAGTTTGCCTACTCCCTGACTGGCCATTTGCTGACTAAAGAACCAGCCTCTGTAGGGACCTGATTTTTGTGTTACTTTCCGGCCCATTCACTCCCCCTTCCTTCCTCCAAGTGGCATTGTAAAACCCATGATGACAAAGAGACAGGGTAGGGCTTGAGGCCCCAGTTCCTGAGGACTTAAGGGCTGTTTTACATACAGGTCAGACACGGCTGGAGGCCAAGGTCAAGTTGAAAGTTGCAGTCTAGCCAGCGTGAGAACTGCCATGCAAGCTTGGAGACCAAGGCAGCTTTGAAAGGCCCACCGCCTGCCTCCCCTCCCTCTTGATTCCTTTATCCTTTAGAATTCCTCCCGTTTCTGCCTCTGTTTGGCTACCCAGCATTTTTTTTTTCTGCCTTTGTGGAGTTTTGGGGGCAGTGTTTACAGACTCTTCTTCTCTGCCTCCGCCCTGCTCTTGGCCCTGGCTTTGTGCTTCTTCTGTTTTCCAGCCAGACTCGGAAAAAACGAAAACTCAGCTCGGGGAGCCCCCACCAGCCGGCGCCCGTGCCAGTTCACCTCTGGCCGTGGTGAGGCTGCCGGTGCATGCCGCGTCCAAGGCCAGCTCCACATTCCTCCCTCCCTCTCCCCACTTCACCAGAGACTGAACCCGGCATGCAGAGGAAGGGCCCTCAGCTCCACAGACTGCCAAAGTCGACTGGGTTTCCCCTCACCAAAAATGGTGAGACAGGATTGTCTGCTGAGGAGCTCCAAGCAGGTTTGTCTGGAAGGGACGGCATGGCACTGAGTGGGGGGGAGGCTTTGGGTTGCATCTCAAATGAGGCTTTGCTTCCTAAGCTTGGCGACTCCGCTAAGGAAGGGCTTCAGGCCTGAAGTATTTATTGAGCTTCGTGGTGGATCTTCACTGATTAAGTTATCTGGATATTTTCTTAGTTCCGCATATCTCTCTATCAACTTTTAAAAACTCTTGAGATGTGATTACTTAGAAGGTGGTAGCCTGCTTGTTTCCTTCTTGTCTTGGGTCTCAATATATATGAAATGATTTTTCTACCAGACAAGTCAATGGTGTCCTGGTATGCCTTAACTGTTTTTGAAAGTCTGCAGGTCCTGTTAGATATTGGATATTGAGTTGTAGCCACCAACCAGTGGGGATGGTTTATAGAATTTGAACTCCATGAATAATTTTGGGTCTCAGTTTCTAGAATTTCTCCTTACTTTGAAGGAAACCCCTCTCCCCCTCTTGTCCGTTGCTGAGGGACCTAAGAGATGTGTTATCGGTTCCCAATATTGTTTCTTAGACTCTTAGCCCCTCAGGCAGCCACCAACCTGCTTGCTATGGAAAAAGAAATGTCGAGGGCAGTGAAAAACTGGACTGTGCTCTAAGAAGCAAGCACAGACTCTCCCAGAGCTCTTCCTCTTTTCCCAATAGCAAGGTCAAGACTCAATTGACTGCCCAGCTAGTTGGGCCTGAACTGCCCCTCTACTTTTTTCTCTATCAGACTCAGAAATGCCTATGGAGTTGGAGGGAGATACCTCAACTTGAATCCTGGCAATGATAATTTTATCCTCAGACCCTTTGTAGGCTAGGCTGGGGAAGCCCAGGCACCCATTGGGATCTGCGGGCAGCAGTGGCTCTTGAGCAAGATGGTGGCAGGGGTAAAGGTGGGATTTGCCTGGCATTTTGGAGGAGCTCTGAGTGAGCAGCATGAGCAAGATTCGGAGAGCAGCAGCTTTTGTTCCAGGAGCTGCCAGACCTTTTCTCTTGCCAGCCCCTTGGTAGGCATGGCTTCTGACCTCCTAGGGCAGGCTAGGATGCACCAAGTGGCTTTGGTTGCTTTGGAGCTTCTCACTGAAGAAAGACACCCTGGCTGGGTTTTTTTTGGGGGGGTGGATGGGAGACTTTGCCAGCCTGGGCCATGGGGCTCTGGGTTCCCAGGATTGGAAGAGAAAAGGATAAAGGGAAACCATGTTAATCGAGTTTGATTTTCACCAGCAAATGAAATTTACCTGCTCTCACTTTAACTCGGAGGAGGCTGTCAGCACTGCTTGCTGGCACAATTTCTCTGCATCCATCCAGCATTAGGATAAACATTCCTCCTTGGTTTTAAAGACACTTTGTATTTCAGGATATTCATGTGTTTCTAATGTATCCAAGCAGCTTTACGAGCTGCATTTGCAGAACATCTTAACCCTCTCTCTCCCACTGCAGAGAGTTGGAGGCCCAGAGATAATGGTGAAGGAAGAAAGATACAAAGGGAGAAAATGGCTGAGGAGCTAAAAGAGAAAGAGAAAGGGAAAAACACCCAAACAGGATAGCACTTCTGGATCTGCAGTCAACCAGACCATTTGGGAAAAATACAAGTGAGGGACTGCTTTGTTCGTGGTGGGCTTTTGGAGTTTCCCCACCAAGGTGGAAGCTGTACTCTTTTTCTTAAAGAGAAAGGGTAGGTTCTGAAGAAACCTGGGCCAAAGCTGGCCACCACGCAGAAAAAATGCTGCATCCTGAGTCACTTGCTCAAGCTTTCATTCTAGTTTTTGTTTTTTATTTTTGGGGGGGTTTTTTGTTTTGTTTTGTTTTGTTTTGTTTTTGTGAAGCATTAATGAGGCAGCACAAGGCCCAAGGCTGTAGGTACAGTTTTGGACTGTGGGGAGTCACTTGGCACTATGGTGACCAAAGGCTAATATAGTGAAAATGGGAGGATGTAGAAGGTCCAGGAAGATCCATGAAGACCCTAGTTTGCCTTGAAAGATCCCCTCGTCCTGTGGATTTTAAGGAGAGCAAGTTTTGGAG